ATATATATATATATACACACATATATTTATTTATATAATTTTTTTATAAATTACCCATTTGGGTGTGATTAAAAACTGAAACTGGGAATTAAATTTGTTTTTTTAATAAATTAATGAATGTAGATATATGGAACACTGGAGGCTTCGGATAAAGAATCAGATTATGAGAAAGACAGAAAGCACTGGCTTGGTTTTGTGAACATTCAAAACTTGAGAGTAGAAGGTGGAGGAATCATCAATGGCAATGGAAGAAAATGGTGGCAGAGATCTTGTAAAATCAACACAAATCTTGTAATGCAAATTTAATTTCTTCTTAATCCATGCTTAATTAATTAATCAATAAATTAGAAATTGTTAATCAGTACTAATATCACTTGTCATGTGTCTTGCAGCCTTGCCAGGATGCACCAACAGTAAGTTCATATACCCTCTTAAATACTTAAATAATACAGTAACTTAGCTATCACACACACACACAGACACATATATATATATATAATCTCTTGTAATTATATATACTAATAATTAATTAATTTTTCTGCAGGCTGTTACTTTTTCTGAATGCAAGAACTTGATAGTGTCAAATATTTGGTTCCAAGATTCACAAAAAATGCACGTTACATTTCAAAATTGTTTCAATGTGAAGGCATTGGATTTGGTGGTGACTGCTCCAGGAAACAGTCCCAACACTGATGGAATTCATGTCACTGGAACCCAGAATGTCTTCATTCAAAATTGTCTCATTAAAACAGGTATAATTAATTAATTAATTAATTTAATTAACCAACGAATTTGTTTGTAATTAAATTAATTACTTTCTTTAACTCAATTTCTGATTATATTGAATTAGGTGATGACTGTATTTCAATTGTAAGTGGGTCTAAAAATGTAAGAGCAACTGGGATAACTTGTGGACCAGGTCATGGAATCAGGTCAGCCTAATTTTTACTTAATTATCCAAATTTAATTTAATTAATTACTAATTAACGATTACTATTTTTCTTTCTTTATAAATTCAAATAGAATCTTATATTTTTATCTGTTCTTATTAAAAATTTGTATTATAATCGACGTGTATGTATCATCTAATATATGATATTTTGTTCAAATTTAGCTAATTAATTTTGGGTGCTCAAGAATTCTGATCATTGTTGTGATATTTAACGAAAATAATTTTTAATTAATTAATTAATTAACTGCAGTATTGGAAGCTTAGGAGCTGATAATTCAGAAGCTTATGTTTCAAATATTGTTGTGAGTAATTCAAAGCTTTCAGGAACCGCTAATGGCGTCAGAATAAAGACATGGCAGGTAATTAATCTTATTTTTATTTAATAAATTTAATTGGGTTTTAGTAATTACTTATAAATTCTAATAAAATTAGTAAAATTTAAATTTTTTTGTATATATGTATATATATAATAAGTCAAATGTGTATATTTTATTTATATATACGTGGGAAAAGTCGGAGTATTTGAAAATTATAATGAAATTAGGCAAAAACATTGAAAATTGAACATTTCAAGTCAATATATATATACACACACACACACACACACACACACAAACACACATATATACACACACACACATTGAAAATTGGGGTCGGCGGCGAACAATTAATTAAGTAGCACCTGTGATTGAGGCGTGAAGGCAGAAATTTGATGTTATACCAAATGTACTTGACACAAGAAAGCAGTTAAGGTAGTTGATTTTGTTAGTTGCAATATTCAACAAAAGTCTACTTATAAGTAATATATATATACGCACACACACACATATATATATATATATATACACTACTTATATAATATTGCGGGTGACCCTTCATCTCATTCTTTCTTCCCACTTTGAAGACCTGAACTTCACTTTTTTTCCACTGCCAAGTCTTAATTTCACATTTCTTGCTTAACTACTTACTTTTATTATAATGAATACACACCCACCCACACAAACACACACACACACACACACACATATATATATATATATATTTCAAGTAATATTTTACTAATTGATGCAGGGTGGATCTGGGTCTGCCAACAATATCATGTTTCAAAATATAGAAATGAAAAATGTGACAAATCCCATCATCATAGATCAATACTATTGTGATCAAGATAACCCATGCCCAGAAAAGGTAATTATGAATTAATTACATATATATATTAATAAATTATAATTATTATGTGTGTGTGTGTATATATATATATGATTGGATATTGTGTATGTACAGCACTCAGCTGTTCAAGTGAGCAATGTGATATACAAGAACATTAAGGGGACAAGTGCTACAAATGTTGCCATAGATTTTGACTGCAGCAAAACAGTTCCCTGCCAAGACATTACATTGCAAGATGTTTCCATTGCAAGCAACCAACAATATATCACCAAAGCTTCATGTTCTAATGTCGATTTGAACACTCGGGGAGATGTTCATCCATATTGCAACAAGCAATGAGAGATCAAATTTTAAATTTTTAAAATGTACTGTCTTTATAGTTCTGTAAATATTTTAATTTTATCATTCCGAACAACTAATGATATCTATATTACCAATCTTGATTTTAATAGAAATTTTACTTTACATCTTTCATTTCGCAGAACTCATTCTGAGAGATATAAATATAAATCAAACAAAACCCAATGTATATATAAAAATCTCAAGGATGTATGAATTTACTAAACGTTTGGTATAAACCCCAATCAGAAAAGGGAGAAGAGAAAGCTTCTATATATAATGCAATATTTCAGTCACAAATCAGAAACGTAGCTTCTATATACAATCCAACAACATTACAGTCACAAACCAGAAAACATTTTCTCAAATGAGATTTGTTGCCAGCATTTCCTGATCGTTGCATGCGCAATGACCAGGCTGCTTTTCACCTTCCAAGCTTAAAGGAATCTATTCTACACTGTAACAATCTATATTAGCATAAAAAGGGTGTCAGTTGGTGGACCTGTCAATCCCTCATCTCCTACTGAAATCAAGTTGCAACGGTCAAGAGCATCAACGTTTTCCCTGACTGCAGGGGCTTCGTCATTTGACTCTGGCAACTCATTGAAAAGAGCCGCAATGGAAGTTCTACCATTCAAATTTCCCAGAGAATTAAATTTTACATCAAGGATGGGCATTTCGAAATCCAAGCAAGTGCCATGTGAGAATTTGAGAACATCCTGCAGGATATCATTGTAACACTCTTTCAACTCTTTTCTAGTAGTGCTAAATTCTGAGCTTGCAACTCTGCCTTGTGTAGAATTTGAGTTATTATCAATCAGATCTCCAAGACACTGGCTCTGAATATCAGGTTCTCCAGGTCCAGTGTTCTCTCTTAACTGATTATAATTATCGTTTTCCAGACCATATCCAGCAGGAGCAACTTTGCAGTCAGCAATTATACACTCAAAAGCATCTTCAGCACTCACCTTATGTTGGCATTGTTCAGGAATTCCATCCATAGTTCTCTTGGAGAAGTAATCAAGAGATCTCATAACATTACCCTCACCCTCTATACAAGAAATACACGAGGAATTATTTGGTGAAACTTTAATACAATCAGTCCCCTCAAGTGCACCTGAACAGGACAACGGATCTGTACTTTCTCCACACTGTCTGTTTGGTGGAGCTTTCTCATTGTTATCATTAACTTCTTCATTTGAAAAATCATTAACTTCAGGTGCAAGAGCTTCAGTACATCTTTGTCGTTCAATCAAAGTTGAAGACAAGAACCCAGAAAGTGCAGATGCTAAAGCATCATCAATAGACACAGAACACTTAGCTTCATCCTTTTGAGAATTCCTTGGTGAGGAATAATCTTCCTCATCATCAATATTCGCAAACTCGGGAGCAGTAACTACGAGACCCGGGACTGATTGACCAACACTTGTTGAATTTACCATATCATTCAATGTGACAGATAAAGAAGCCTCCTCCTTATTGACTTCAGATGACCCACAATTAGAATCGTTATTTTCATTGCTATAAGAGGAGTTATGATCAGATTCATGGCATGAAAATTCTGGGGCAATGATCCTCGTGCATGAAGGCAATTCAGAACTCTGGAACTTCTCCACAAGTTTTTCAAGTGTCTGTTCCACATGCTGAAGCCTTTCATTAATATTGCTTATTGGCTTCAGCATGTGTTCTTCAAACCTTAGGAAAAGATCTTCTATCCTGCTTACACGAGAAACAAGCTGGCCCAGTAGACTATCAGCATGGCTGCATGATAACTCAGGCTTGCTTTCTGCACCTGAAAGCTGTTGGGAGGTCTCAACCTGAGGTGTTTTGGCAGTTGAGACAACTGCTTCCTGAATATTCTCTTCCAGCTGATCAGCAGCAGCCATTCTGGATTTTCCTTCACACATTTTATCAGCAACTTGCTTTGATTTAGTTGCTTTTAATCCACTGTCTGCAGTCTTTTGGTTTTCAATCATATCTGAAGCTTGCTTGTCTTGTATTCTTTTTACATCTCTTGTTTTAGATAACTGCAACAGGGTAGGCACAAGCATTGCCATAACAGAACTACCTGCCATGTTTTCCACCTGACCAGCTTGGTTTTCGGGATCAGCTGGATCAACAGGATCAGCAAATACATAGACTTCATCAAGAAATAAACAGCCTTTATCCTGAAGTGAGAGCAGACGGAGCGTAATGGAGATGCAGGGGTCTGCATCATTAATCTCTGCTGTAGCCTCATAAAAATCCTGAAAAAAGTCATTCTGAACTAGATCACAAAAAAGAACAGAATTTTTAACCAAAGCCTGTCATTTCAGTCTGCACACTGCTAATAAACCTACTACAGTCAAACTCTCAAAGTTCACATATTCTTTATTTTCTCCATTTTTCTTCTTAATAAATTGTTTTTCCTTTTCTTAAAAGAATTGCGAGCTTGGAAATCTCCTTCATCTGTGTCAATATAACCCCATGATAGGGTCCTGCCTTTGGATCTACGCACAGCCGCTAGTCTGAAATCCTGAAGCAAGCAAGTCACTCGCTTCCCAGTTGTCCAGCCTTGCGGGCTATAGTAAGACTTGCTTAAGAGAACCTCCAATCTTTTACAGCAAAACTCTTTTGAATTAATAGCTTGATGATTTTATTTATGATAATAGATATATTTATAGGAAGCTAATTGAATTAGATCTCTATTACCATTCTAGGAATCATAATCCTATTAGATCTCTATTACCATTCTAGGAATCATAATCCTACTTTTATTCCAAGTTCTAATCTAAATCTAATTATAGTTATAAGAATCCTAATTATAGTTCCTTGAAGAAACCAACTTTCTACTAGACTCAAACTCCCTTTTGATGCTTTCATGGGTCATACGCCCTATTATTTTATATATTATAACATCTTATCTCTCCCTCCCTGACATATCCCTTTAGATTTGGCTAAATATGCTACGCACAATCTAGTAATGGTTCATCTGCATATGAAGTAACTACAACTTCCTCCTTAATTGACATGTTTAATTTTTTCGTTAATTGCCATAATCAAATTTATTTTCTCTCTTTAGGTTAGTCGCTAATATAGACTCTTCAAATATAGCATGGAAAGAAGATTTGGTTCCTTTTTCCTTCCATAATTTCAGTGTACAGTGAGGATGGATGCACAAAAAAGATAGAACCCCATGTGCTTGAGTGAATCTTCGACAGAAAACACTTCTAACCTGAATACTTCCTCCTGGGTGGTCTCCATCAAAACTAGATGGTAGTGGACTGCTTCTCAGATCAAGCACAGGAGGTTCCACTTCAACCCAATCATCTTTATTTGCATCCACAGCACCCTCATTTTTTGATCTCATTGCTAGATCCTTAACAGGTTCTTGATGTGCCAAAATAGCTTCTTGAACACCAGTAGTATGCAGCACCTCTCCATCCCTAGTAGCAATGCCACATCGAACAGTACATAGATATTCATTGCTCTTCTGCAGCCCAGTTGTATAGTATATCTCATATACTCGAGCAGTACTTCGAACATAAACCTGCTGCACTTCATGAATTTGAGAAAACCTGACTGCACAATAAAACTCTCCTTCAGAAGCTATTCAGCTTACACCCACATAAATCAAGACAAAATTCAGATAGATTCACACAACAACAATTAGCATAAACTGTTATTTTTGAGGAAAAAGAAGAATATGTGGACAATGCACCAAGGGACCTATGTTTGCATCAGCACGTCATAATAAGTCAAAACATTAATATGTTCCCTCAATCTTCTCCATCAAGAAGAAGATTACCTTACAAAATAACAAGGTCAAGAACCAACAATCTCCAATTCTAACAAAACAAGAGCGAATATTCTCAAAGCTCAAAAGTTTCTTCTTGCCTTTCTTTTCAAATAACCCAAATAATGGCAAAGGAAATGAGAAAGAGAAGCTTCTTCCTGGACTTTCAAGCTTGCAGTGTGCCTCCAACTAACCAGAAAGTTAATGAGATTGAAGGTTGAATTCCAGAACCTTCTAGCCTAACAACAAGGAAGAAGGAGATGGTTGGGGAATTTATTCTCATGCAAATCAACATGGCAGCAGTTGACTAGAATTCTCTCCATTTCCTCAAATTGCTCTGCCCCATAGGACATTAGAAAACTAATTACATTCTTATATATTATAATACAGTGAATATAGTCACTAAAAAGCCTTTTTTTTTTCAGGAGAAAGAAGCCATGATTGTCTAGGTTACTGATCCATGTAGTCAAACCAGTAAAAAAGACAGTTGTGATAATGAATCTACTATATACAAAGAGACTGAGGGAGTAGCAAAACATTAGGAATTTAGACTTAAACAATAATAACGCTTTGTCTAGGTTACTGATCCATGTAGTCAAACCAGTAAAAAAGACAGTTGTGATAATGAATCTACTATATACAAAGAGACTGAGGGAGTTGCAAAACATTAGGAATTTAGACTTAAACAATAATAACATAAATCCAAATGGCTTACTCACAAAGGGAAAAAAGGATGATTCCTCGTTTACTTTCTCTCCCTTGTGTTTACTGGTTTATCTCCAGGCCTTAAGGATATGTTCAGAGCTACCAAACATGAATGAGAATGGAAATACCATTGATGAAGAATTGATTAACTCTAGATTCCGTAAACAGATTACAAATCATAATTCCATTAAATATCAAACTACTGAACTATTTAGGACTTTATTATTATAGTTTTGGTAACTTTATGATTTTATTCTTATTAGTATTTAGTTCTTTTATTTGTATCAGTAGTTTTATTTCCTAATTTTATTAATATTAGTATTTCTTCATTTAATCTATTTAGTAATTTCACTATTAAGATATTTATAATTTCGCTTTTTGGAATAGACTTCATTTATCCAATAAAATATTTTGAGAGTTTCTCCATTTTATGGTTATGTGATGCAATCAAATTGTTAAGTGTGAGCTCAAGACTTCTACAATGATGAGGCTTTTATTCCCAAATCACTAGGTAAGCAAAATTAATCCTAACTTATCTAACATCAATAGGTATCAAAACTAAAAGTTCATATACAAAATTCTAAAATACTATATCCAACCAAATAATTGATAGCTTCACAATTTTCTATTCGTGTACCACAATTAAACCCTTAATTGTGATTCTTAAGACTTCTCAAATGTAATATTTAAAAAACCTATGTCTGATGTCTAGGGTTTCAAATCCTTGTTAAGCAAATTAATCCTAATTTATCCTTCATCGATTATCCATGGGTTTCAATAACTGAAGAAACCTTTTGAACACATACCAGGAGAGAAAAAGCCTTAGTTTATTACTCTATGCCGCAACATAGCACCTAAAGTTACGGTTTAACTTAGCAACAGCAGGCTCCAAATTTTTTTTGTCTCCTTCAGTATCTTCCATTGCTAGATAGCACAATAACTAAATTCTGGTTTCATCACAGAGAAGAGGTATCAAAACTGACAACAACGGGGCAATATCAGACCACTAGCTAGAATCTAAAACCAACAAAATTTAAAAATTATTTTGGTAAACTAAACTCAACCTTATTATCTACTCTTTCCTAAACCTCTTTCTCTTTATATGCAAAAATTAAATTAGAACAATTTCCATTTCCCGGAACTCGAGAATCTCCCCCCAAAAAATCCAAATGAATCACTTCCATTTTAATGGAATTTAAGATTTACAAAAAAGAAGCGAAAAATAAAAACGATATCGAGAATACTGAAATCGAAAAGAATTACTTGTTATCTCGCAGGGACCCGAATCGAGTGAGGGAGGGCGGAGGATGAGAGGATATCTGGGGACCGAAACCAGAGCGTTTCCGTCGTCGTCGTCGACACTGTCGGTGATGGGAGAGAAAGAGGACTCAAAAGTGACTGAATTCACGAGAGAGCCGCCCCCTTCGATAGCCCAATTCGTGGAGTACTTTCTCTCTGCTTCCATGGCTGCTTCCTTAATCTAATTTGCTCTGTTTGGCACCGTATTAACAACTTGGATGGCTTTTGAAAGTGATGACGCCTTAATAATAATAATAATAATAATAATAATAATTTTTAAAGATTTATTTATTCCCAGAAGTTTATTATTAATATTCAAAATAAAATTATTAATGATGTACTAATATTAATTATTAAATTTATTTAGCAAAATTTTGTATAGTTTTATTAGTCAAATATATATTAATAATTTTATTATTAAATAGTTTATTATAATTTTTATTAAATTTAACTGTAAAACTGAAAAATGTATAATAATTAAAAATTAAATTAAAAAAAGAAAATTTAACAATTTCATATTTTTACGAAAATTTAGAAATTTGTTCCAAAAATTAAAAAAAAAAAACTCGGAATATATTTATTCTTTTTCTTATGAAAAATAATAATTTTATTCTGTTTTTTACTGTAAAATATATATATATATATTCATATATATTTATATACATACATTGAGCAAACAAGATTTTGGTGCTCATTTGCTGCCGCGGATAAGAGACCGCCGGTCTTCTTTGTCTCTCCGCCGCAAGGTGTCATACTACAGCCTGCCTTGAGCTTACTGCAACACTTCCTCCTTCACGTAAACCCTAATTCCTTCTTTAATATACACAAACATATACGTACAGGTGTATGGATAACCATTTCTGTTTATATTTCTATCTGTAGCATTGCGCCTGTTGTCTGTTCGATTAAATGTCTCACTGAATTTCAAGGTTTCTTGCTTTGTGTTTTAATTGTCAGATAGGGTTTTATGTATATTGTTTAAAAACTTTATACTGCTTCCTTCTGTGCTTATTTTGCCGTGTAATCTTCCTTTTTTTCTTGTTTCTCTTTTCATTTCTTGAAGCTATGACCAAGTTCTTAAATCCTTTTCAATGAATTTTCTCTTTTGGTTTTGTTGTGCTAAAATTAGTTTGTGAATTCTGATAATTTTATTCACCTTGTCTCCTGCACTGCTAACTGGAAATAAAATAAAATAAAAAGCAACCCAGGAACTTCTATATTTGAACGCTCGCGGATGTGGGCAAGTGAGTGAATTTGGAAACTTATGGGGCAGATGAAGGCCACACTTTTCACTAGATGACTGATTCTGGAAAATTTTTTTACTGCATTGGTGTTGTAGTGATGTCTTTTTGGTGATTGTGAAGGTGGTGCTAGTGGTGGCATAGCAATGGTAGTAGCTGCTGGGACATTAGGCAATGATAAGTAGCAAGATGTGTATATTAGGTGATGGTGGAGTTTGCTACATTCCATTGGCCATGATTTTGTAGTTTTGATGGTGATGGCAATAATGTCAATCTTGAGTCTCTTTTGGGAAAGTTGGTAAGATATATCCATGAGAACTATAACTAAGTTTTCTTGAAAGATAGAACTATGAAGATTTATAACAGACAAAGAGGGTAAAAGTGTCACTTAATCATAATTTGAAGCCCGTGGTGATGTATTCATGTTTCAAGTATAATCTTAGAAACTGAATCTTAAATTTTTTTTACAGTTTGTAGTTGATCAGTGGACACGATTAAAAAGTTCAATTCCAAAGGCACAAGATCCTTTTCAAAACAAAAAAGCACAAGATTCCATCAGAAAATAGCCCAGTGATATTAATTCTGAGTTAGATACTTCTGTTTAGTGGAAGCTAAGTTGCCTTTTCTCTTTTCACTTTTTAAGTTTTTGCTAGCTGATAAGGCTTTCAAGAAAATGCAGAAGATGCAGTTTCCAATGTCCTATGGTGCCAGTGGTTAATGGTATGAGTTATCTTGTCTATACAAAGATGTAAGAGGCAATGACCATGGTTGGAGTACATTATGCATGTGTACTGTCTAAGTAATTTCTCCATGTTAATGCTGTCCATGTACCACCATGGGCACACATTTCTTTTGTATGATTTTGTTTTATTTAATGGATAGGTACCTAAGGAGCAGCCCATGTCTGATTAAAGGGATGGTGAAGTTTTCAGCATATTCTTTAATATGTTCATTTACTCCTTTTCATTCTATTATCCAGAAAAAACATTGCCGATTTTCATTACGTACATGTTACAAGTACTCGACTAAGTCTGCAAGCCTGTTTACTTGTGCTCAAGTAGAACAGATACATGCAAAAGCAATGACGATTTCTGGGCGGTATCCTCCGCCTTTGTTTAGGTTGGTCTCTTTAGATATGCCAATTCCAGCTCCTGTGTGAACTATTTTATGTAACATAAAATTGCATTTTTGTTGATTTATTTCCAGTGTCGCTCCAATGATGGATTGGACAGATAACCATTATAGGACTCTTGCACGTCTCATATCAAAGCATGCATGGCTTTATACAGAGATGCTCGCAGCTGAAACCATTGTTTATCAAGAGGGAAATTTGGTAAGTTAGTAAAAGATCTAAACTTCACCAATTTGTGTTCCGTTTTTCTCTAAGAGCATGTTTGTAGCAAAAGAATTCTTTCTGTGGAATTCATTCAGAAATCTTAGTTTATGAAGGGATTATCCATTTAGCATACCTTAAATAGGTATTTGGAGATAAGAGCCAAACTAATGAACAACTTCGGTTTTAAATAGTATCATAATTCATTTTCAAATTCCTTTTTTTTTTTCACAAAAGAAAAATCATTTTTGAATTCCACCAGCTTTGATGAACTTGAAATACATTATTGCATTTCCACCTAGAATTTATTTGGAAATGAAATTTTAAATGTTTAAGTATCTGAATTAAGTATGAAAACTAGTGATAGTTTCTAGTGAATTCCACAAAAATAATTCATTCATTCTAAATACATCCTACAGATGTTTCTTCCTTGGTGGCCCTAATGCGTGAAAGTAACAGCCCTCCTCCATCTCTTAAATCTACATCATAGTGATGGCAGGATATGCTGCTTGTTTTTTTGGCAATTTGGCATATCTAATATTTTGATAAACGTTGTACCAATTCTGTATATATTTATTTATCTTGCTCAGGACAGATTCTTGGCATATTCTCCAGAACAACATCCTATTGTTCTTCAAATTGGTGGGAGCAATTTGGAAAACCTGGCAAAAGCAACTCAACTTGCTAATACTTATGGCTATGATGAGATTAATTTCAAGTTTGTATAACTCCTTCATCTTAGCTTTATTCTCTCTTACTCTTCTTTCTCATATATTTGCACACACTCAATGAGGTTTATTTACTTGTTTATTATTGTATTTATTTGTTTGTTTGTTTGCTAGTTGTGGATGCCCTAGTCCGAGAGTAGCTGGGCATGGATGCTTTGGTGTTCGCCTTATGCTTGATCCAAAGGTTTGATAGATGCGCTAACCAAATTGTCAAGTGCAAGTAAGTAGATATCAATTTTCTTTGCCAATATGCTCTTACATAGTTGCTTTATGTTTATAAGGAAAGTTCGTCGGAGAGGCTATGTCAGTAATTGCTGCCAATACGGATGTTCCTGTCAGTGTCAAATGCCGAATTGGTGTTGATAATCATGATTCATATAATGAATTATGTAAGTTTTTTCCCCTTCAGTTTTTTCCCCTTCAGATCTAAATACTATGTTTCTGGCGTTATGCCTGCTGAGTTGAAGGAGGCAGATTTTATATCACCATTTTTCCTACAAAAGGTTTCTAGCAGTTTTCAAATTGTTTACGATTCAGACACTAAGAATAGTTATTATTAGTCATTATCTTTGCATAGTTTCCTATCATGCTTCTATGTCTTTACACAATTTCACAAAATGAAGCACATGTACTATGATGCTTGTTGGGTGAATATTGAAAGTAAGGAAATGGACAGGCATTCTATATGTTGAATTTGGTATTCTAACGGTTAAACCCAGCAGACAAAATGATAACAAGGTGGGCTGATTCTTGGGAAAAAGGAAAGGGAGGCCTTACCACAACCAAAGAGTAAAATCTTGATGTCAAAAAAAGATTATTAAGATTGCACATGTACTCTGATGCTTGTTGGGTGAATATTGAAAGTAAGGAAATGGACAGGCATTCTATATGTTGAATTTGGTATTCTAACGGTTAAACCCAGCAGACAAAATGATAACAAGGTGGGCTGATTCTTGGGAAAAAGGAAAGGGAGGCCTTACCACAACCAAAGAGTAAAATCTTGATGTCAAAAAAAGATTATTAAGATTGCACAAATTTCACCCAAAATAGATGAGACTTTGCATGAATTCTGTAGAAAATGTTAGAATAATGGTAGTTTAGTATTTACTCTTTCTGAACAGATGGAATGTCCACCACCACTACCAAAAATTGGTTATGTTTGTTGTTTATTTTTTCTTTTTCTATTTTTCTCTCACACCCTCACCTTTGGTGTGACATCAGGGCAATGAGTGCCTACAAATGGCACCTTACCCTCTCTATTTTAAACAAGCAAGAAAGAAAAGAAAAACCTCTTATTTTATCTCTCTCAAACTTTACTTCCATTAAAATTTTCATGGTATCAGAGCACCTCTGATCAAAAAATCTCTTTCAGCTTATGTCAGATTCTTCAATGGCCACAAATGACCGAAACTCTTCATCACCCAAAGTTATTTCGGGTACGTATCTCCCCAACTCCATCAACACTGGAATGGTGGAGTAACATTCATCATTCATCACCAGCCATCGACTCAATGGCGATAATTACCTCCAATGGTCGACGTTTGTGCGGCTATTCATCTGAGGGAAAAGACGCGATGAATATCTCACGGGAGAAGTTTCAGAACCTCCATCGAATGACCGACATGCTCGGACTTGTAAAATCGACAACAACATTGTAATGTCTTGGTTGCTAAGCTCCATGACTCTCGAAATCAGTGAAAATTTTCTCTTGTACGAGACAGTTCACGAAGTCTGGGAAGCTGCTCGTGAGTTTTACTCTAGCCGCGAAAACACCTCAGTAATTTTTGAAATCGAATCCACCATCCACGAGTTGCGGTAAGGTGAGCCAAACATTACTCAATATCATAACTTTCTCATCTGCAACTGGCAACAGCTCGACGTCTTCGAAGATCATCAATGGAGCTGCCTAGAAGATGCTAAGAAATACAGAGAAATTGTCGAGCAGCAAAAATCTTTCGGTTTCTCATGGGGCTCAACAAAAGTCTGGATGAAATGCAGGGCTGAGTTCTAAGCACAAAAACACTTATAGGTATTCGTGAAGTCTTCTCTGAAGTTCGGCGAGAAGAAAGCAAGAAAAAATTGATGTTGGGAGAACCTCAATCGACTCAGCTGAGTGAGAATGCTTCTGCTCTTACTTCTCGCGTCTCTGATTCCCGTGGAAAGAAAGGGCGTCCATTCTGTGAGTTCTGCAAAAAGGCAGGGCACGTTCGTGAGAAGTGCTGGAAGCTTCATGGGAAACCAGGAGAGAAGAGGATCACGGAAACTTAGCGACTTCGGAAGAGCCCTCTGTTGCCCGAGAGTGCTCCCTTCAATCCAGAACAAATGGAGGCACCGGTGAAGCTTTTTTTCGTTGAAAATGGGAAGTTTGGGTGATTTCTCTGCCTCTGTTGCCCAAAAAGGTAAATACCTATTGGGTTTATCAGCATAGTTCCATAAAAAACATATTTGGATTGTGGATTCTGGGACATTTGACCATATGATAGGAAATCAGTACTTGTTCGGTGATTATGTTGAATGGAAGGAAGATTTATTAATTAAGATTGCTGATGGTTCAAGTTCTAGAGTGGTAAGAATTGGCTACACAAAAATATCATCCTGTTTGACACTCTACTCGGTTTTTTATGTGCCTAATTTCGATTGCAATCTACTGTTCATAAGTAAATTGTGTAAAGACATGAATTGTATGGTGAAATTTGACAATCATTCTTGTGTATTTCAAGACTTGGTTTTGGAGAAAACAATTGGCAATGCTATGATGGATTCAAGTCTGTGCTGTCTTGCAGTTGACCCACCTACCTCAAGTAGACAAGCTTCTAATGTTGTATGTGTTAATTCGGTTTCTATAGATTGTTCAAACGATGATCACACAATTATGTTATGGCATTATCGATTAAGCCACCTAAACTTTTTGTACTTAAAGTAATTATTTCCTACTTTATTTAAGAATAAAAATTCACTTTTATTTCAACGTGAAATGTGTCAATTTTCAAAACACACTCGCAATTTTTTTCCTAATATAGCATATAAACCCACACAACCATTTGTTCTAATTCATAGTGATGTTTGAGGACCTTCACGAGTCAAAACTATTACTTAAAAAAAATAGTTTGTATCTTTTATTGATAACCATACTAGAATTACCTGGATCTTTCTCATGA